ACAAGTGAAAATAAATGGTATAAAAAATGTAACAAAAAACAGCAAGGTTGTAAGGCGATGTAGAAAACAAAAAACAGGAACACGTCTGCATTGGCTTTTGCCATGAACTTAGCAGATGTTTGAAGCCACTTAGAGAGGTCAAGGTCAAGAGCTTCAGATCATTTTGCAAGATATTCCAGGAAACAGGAGCGGAGGAGGAGAAGGCCTGCAGTCTGAGGAGTGAGGAGTGAGGAGTGAGGATGCAGAGGACAGAGTGAGATGGAGGAGAAGGAGTCGCTGTGGCCCCTGAAGAGAGAAAAGTTGAAGGAGGAGGAAGAAGAAGTTGATGGACAGGCTGTCCTTCGCTTCACTCCTGCCTTTATGGCTGACCATTTATACTTATTGTTGCTTGTGCAGATGTGCTCTGTTGTTACAACTGCAGCTTTTCACACCCTCGTTCCTCTTCGTGCACGTGTACTAAAGATGTTTTTATGCCCCACTATTTGTTACAGAGCAGCTCTGACTCACATTCCATGAAATTCCTCATTTTCCTGTATCTAGACATCATTTCGGGCAGCACGGTGGTGCAACTGGAGCTGCTGCCTCTCAGCGAGAAGGTTGCCGGTTCAAATCCCGGTCCAGGGTCCTTTCTGGGTGGAGTTTGCATGTTCTCTCTGTGCATGTGTAGGTTTTCTCTGGGTTCTCCAGTTTCCTCCCACAGACCAAAAACATGCATGTTAGACTGTCTGGTAACTCTAAATTGTCTCTAGGTGTGTGAGAGTGAGAGTGAATGGTTGTTTGTCTTGTTTGTCTCTGTGTGTCCCTGTGATGGACTGGAGACCTGTCCAGGGTGTCCCCCGCCCCTCACGCAGTGATTGCTGGACATGGGCACCAGCGACCCCCGTGACCCAAAATGGAACAAACGGGTAAAGATAATGGATGGATGGATGGGCACCAGTGACCCCCGTGACCCAAAATGGAAATGCGGTAAAGATATGGATGGATAGACATGTAATTTCTGATCATGCAGAAGAGAATCACACACGTAGGACATTACATAAAATCTCTTGTCTCTTTTTTCTATTTGTTTGTTTATGTATTTTATCATGGATTTTTTTGTGATTACTTTGATAATGTCTTATCTTGTGGATTTGTTTCATGGCTGTCATGGTACACAGTTATAAATAAAGTTAAGAAAAAAATGCTTCGGGGAAAAAAACGCACTTCTGGTTCGACTTCAAAATAAAAGCACTTGTTCGGATCGTATACATTTATGTATTGTACCATGTAGTTGTATTATATCTTTATTAATGTCGACGGTTTGGGTCAAACAGAAAAAAGTGGAAAACATTGTTGCTGGTTCTCCCTGGAGGACAAGTACAGAACGTAAACGTTACAAAGAAGCAGAGTACCCGGATGTGGCGCTCCCTCTAACAAGGAAGAGGAAATGCCCTTATAAGGAAGGAGGGGCTCCACTCCAACATCCGGTCTGCTGGGTGTTTCAAAAGAAAGTTTTCCCGTTGTTTTTCTGCTTGTGTCCGCTCGGTAAGAGTCCTCGGAGGTTTTTCTGTCTTCAAACTTTATCATGCTTAACTAACGGATTGTAACCGTCTTATTTTGCGCTGTTGTTGTTTACAGAAGCGCCATGTCGAAGTCTTTGAAGAAGATCGTGGAGGAGAGCCGAGACAAGAGTCTCCCTGAGGTGGAGATGTGTGACAGGAGCATTTCCAACATGTTGGACATCCCGGGCTTATGTAAGTCCTTACTGTCCTCCATGATGTTAAACATACACAGACAGGAGTCAGTCTGTGCGGGGATTTCTTTAAATTGATTATTAAAAATAAATAATTAAATGGCTAAATTTCCTTGAAGGGATGCATATCACCCGCCACCTTCCATACAAGTTTCAAATTAAGATCATCATTAGGTGAAGGGTGATGGTTGTTACAACCCGTGCTTAATTTGAGCCGGATCCTGCCAGAACAGGATCCGGGAACGCTCTTATTTTGACAGGGTGCTTTCCAGTAAGTGCTTGAATCCAGTAACTCTCAAGCTTACTGATAATAAAGTTATAAACAAATATGACTGCCTTGAACGAATAAAACTTATATTGAATATGTAAACTGAAAATAATTACATAAACACTCATTTTAAACACAACAGCCACTTACGAGTTCTTAGGATCACATAGATCTGCCTCTTCAAGTAAACCTTTTTGCTTCTACCCTTAAAAATCTCCGCCCCTACAAGTGGTGGGGTGAGTAACAAGCTAACCAGGCAGTCATACGTGCACGCAGGAGCCCACAGGCAGCAGCAATGAACAGATGGAAGAGATGCCTGGAGGTTTCACATGTGGAGTCGGACAGTGAATTCAGTGGAGAGGAGTCGACTCAGAACCATTAAGTAATGGAGGGGGGTAGGATGCGTGACAGAAGCGGAGTGTTTACAAATGTACATCCTGTTAAAATACACCAGAATGTAGAAAATCACATCTATTCAAAATTTTCTGGGGGAGGACCCCAACCCTCTCCTCCAGCCGGCCCGCCTGCTATTTGTGTTCCGGCATTGATCGGTTTACAAATTAAGCCCCGATTACGTCCAGTCTGACATGATATTGCATTGTTTCCCCTACCATTATACAAGCTGGGTGCCCAGCCTACCGAACTGAACTGCGTCCCCCCCCCCCCGACGTAACGCTAAGCTAACAGCGCGCAGTACGGGCGGGCTAGCTAAAAAGCTAAAGGCAGCGCTCATGCTGCCTCTTCCCTCATGCTGAATCCTGCTCCCCCACCGTCGACAAAAGTCACGGATGAGATGAGCGCCCTGCCATGGCAAGTTATCTAGGGGAAATACTGATATTGTCACACTCTGTGTTGAGGAGTGAGGCAACATCCAAAGATGGATTTATACTTTATCAGAGGTGTCAGAGTTGTTCATGCTGACATGGTGGAGTGATGAACATTGCTTCTTTCTGTTCCTGCACTGCCCCGGGGAACCCGCTGTCTTCTCACACCGAGCATTGTGATTGTTCAGAACTTCACGAGCGTTTAAGCAGAAAAGAAGGCGAACTGCATTGCTGTCGTTTTGCTTCAACTGCTCCGCTGAAGAGCAGCTAGCCGAGGCTGTAGGGACACGCAGCCATCTTTACATCTGTTCCAGCAAAACGTATAAAGATAGTCCAAAAACATGTGGAAGGAGACAGCACAATTATGGTGGCTACTTGTCCTGAGCCTGGTTCTGCTAAAGGTTTCTTCCTCACGAGGGAGTTTTTCCTTTCCACTGTCGCCTTCATGCTCAAGATGAGAGTTCTGTGATGAAGTTAAACTCAAAGCAGAACAATTGATAGAAGAATTGAAAAGAGAAGACGGTCCGAAGAGTCTCTGTGGCTGTGTTGTCTGGGAGGGAGTGGGCTTTGGATGGACGGAGGAGCGACACATCCACACAACATCTGCTGTGAACGCTGGAGGTCTCTTAGTGACACTTTGGAAAAACAACTTTTTTTCTTTGGTTAACAGTAAAAATACCAGATCCTCCTCCTCCAACTCTTCCATCATCATTTGGAAATAAGCATTCACTCTGGGACAGCTGTGGCTGAGTGGTTAGAGCAGTCGTCCTCCAATGGAAGAGTTGGGTGTTCGATTCCACCAGCAGTCACATGCTGAAGTGTCCATGGGCAAGACACTGAACCCTCGTTGCCTCTGATGTGTGTCCCATCAGTGTATGAATGTGATAAATGTGATGTTGGATGGGAGGCTCCGACCGATTGTTGAACCTCAGATTCAGGAGGAGCAGTGGACCAGATCTGCATCCTTGCAAAGTTACAAAGGGGGCATGGGAGTTTTGACTGTTTTAGTCTACAGTGCATGTATATTGTGGCTCTGGAGAAATTCACAAAGTTAACTTGATTCTCTGTGCATGTTGGACTCTGCCAGCACGGTCACTGGTTCTGTCTGTGGTGTTGATGGACATGATCCAAAGAGATCCTCGGAGTCTCGTCTCCGCTTTTTGCAGATTATGTGGTTCTGTTGTACGTCTTCAGGCCAGTTTACACTGGAGCAGTTTGTAATAAAATAATTCAACTGAACTTCTTTGAAGAACTTTAATTATGAGCTGTAAATGTTCACAAACGTCCATCAGTTCATTTAAAATTGGATGAAATGTGTCTGTTGTTCTGTGACAGAGTTCTCTCTGAATCACTTCCACCTGGTTTAGAAGCTCCTGTTCAGCCTGGTTTGATGTTCATGAAATTAATTAATCCAGGATGTTCTGACCAGGCTTGGTCAAACCCAGCTTTCTTCTCATAGCCTGGATTAGTCAATCCTACCTCAGTCACAGGAGGTGTGGGTAATATTCCACAGAAATATAACTGGTGCAGTCAGAGCATCACTGCTGCTCCAAGTGAAATGTTGCCAGGTAACACAATTTTTCATGTTGTTTCAGTCACTCTGTCTAACATCACTCAGCTGGTTCTCAGCCACAACAAGCTCACAGGTAAGATGCTTCCTCCATTTGTTCACTCCTACACTGTCAAAACTGTCCAATCAGGAGACGTCCTGCCACACCAAGCAGCACAGGTGTCTGCTGAAAATGTTTTATTTTAAAAGAAATGAGCCAAACAGGAGGTTAATGAAGTCAAACTCTTTAAAAGGACGTAGCATTTGTACTCCACCTGATCTTCTCACAACGATGCAGTTTAGAAATAAAAACATCGATATCCACAGGTGGACAGATGTTAGTTTTCCTGTGAAAGTGACTCAGAGATCTTCAGTTCATGGACACGTATGTCTGGACATTGGTTTAGTTTAGTCTCATGTACAAATGGTAGTGTTTTCTACTTGTCTGCTCCAGATTGGTCCAGTTATATATTCCCTTGTTTTTAATTATATCTGTGTAAAAGGTGTGTGTTCCTTAAACACCGGCCTTCTGATACGATGGTAACTGTAAGTACAAACAGTTCTCTGCATGTAATCTGTCTTCCATGTGGTGTCCTCCAGCTGTGCCTCCTAACATCTCAGAGCTGAAGAACCTCGAAGTTCTGAACATGTTCAACAACCAGATTGAAGAACTACCAACTCAGATCAGCAGCCTTCAGAAGCTCAAACACCTCAACCTTGGGTATGTGCTGTTTGGACTTTATCACACATAGAACGCTCTTCCTCATACATAAACCTTTAGGAGGAACAAGGGTCTCCGCACGCTTCTATGTCTTCAAACACTGACACTTGAACCACTTTGGCATGACTGTCTCAGAGGAGTTGACGGGGGAGAGGGCGGGCCCCGGAGGCCATCTTAGCACCAGCAAACTGGTTTGTGTTTGTTTTTCCCCCACTATGGAGTATGCTGTTTGTGGGAATCAGTTTGTTTGGTGGCTCCTCAGACTGAAGAAGTAAACATCTCGGCAAAAAAAGAAACTGTCCAGATGACCTGACTGAACATTGTTGGATTATTACCTGGATTACTGAGCATTAACTTTGGTGAACTGACACTTTAATAACAGTTTTCAGTCTAAACTTTAATAAGTACATTTCTGTTCAACCTTTGTAATGTCTCTGCATTAAAATTCTGTTTCCAAAAACACACATTCTGTGGGAGTGGTGGCGCAGAGGCTAGAGAGGTTGGTCTATGATCGGAAGATCGCCCCGGTACCGACAACATCAAAAATGTGGGTGGGGTAGGTGAAGCACCCACACTTGCCCCCACCCTCATTTGCCCCACTCTGGGCCCATGAGCAAGGCCCTTAACCCCCATCTGCTCCCTAAACAGGTCTCTCTTGAAAATGAGTTCTCGTGGCTCAGTGAGACTACCTGGATAAATAAAGGGTAAATAAAATAAAAAAGTGTTAGGGATGAATACCGGTTATTACTAAACACAATCTTTGCTCAGTATCGGGACAGCTTAAAGACGGTCCATTATCAGTCTGCGTATAAGAGAGAGGGTAACATTAACTGCATTTTTCCAAAACTAATTAAATCCTAGTAATGTATAGAAGGCTGAATGTTCAGGCCTGTGAAACGCTGATCATAGAAATTATGGTCACATTCATTTTTGTGTTAAGTGGTTCTACAAACCGTTGAATCACAAGTTGAATGTCTTTTTCCACACACTGCATGTGCAGTTTTATGTAGTCTTTGTTGCATAAATGATAGAATCTTATGGAGGTTTAAGGATTTCTGTAGTTGATTGCGAAAACCAGGTGAGAACCAGATGTTCTTATGTCCTGATTTCGAACTATTTTTAAAATTGAAAACTGGGAATGGCCCAAATGAATTCAAAAAGCATCCAGGGTGTTTTCCTCCTCTACTTGCTGATAGTCTGGACTGTGTTCACCACCCTCCACAGATTTTTCTCCGTAGGAAGCATCTGAAAATGTGGGGGAAACAGGCCGGCACTCTGGTATGCATCAGGACTCACCTAAAACCTATTGAGCAAATGTATCGCTGCTCCACCTCAGAGGTTTTGTTTCCTCTTCGGCACCTCTCCATATCCAGATGTCATCGCTGGATCTGGCCCATCACCCCGCCCGGTCCTTTGGACCCTCGGTTGGAGCATCCACCTGTGTGCTGTTGGGCACAGTCCTAGAGAGACAGTGTGAATCCTGGAACCTTCACCTGCTGGGACCTTCTCCTGGATCTACCACTCTTTGAATGGCTCTATTAAACACCAGATCACTGGCCAATAAGACTTTTATTTTAAATGACTTTTTGAACTTCTCAAAGCTGGATTATTTATTATTTTTCTTTTTTTTTTTTTTTTTTTTTTAATGGAGACTTTGCTTCAGTCTGGTGAGTCCACCTGTGTCTCTGAACTTCTTCCCCCTGGCTGTTTGTTTGTCAGCTCTCCTTGGACCATCGGTAGAGGTGGAGGGGTATCTTCAGTGTTTGTATCCAACCATTGCTGTCAACAGCTGTCACTTGTCTTCTACACCAGCTTTGAAGTCCAACTTTTAGAACTGAACTTTTCTCCCTCAGTGATCTGTGCTGTGGTGTACTGTCCACCCAAATGCATAAAGGTGATAAATCAGATAGTAGTCAAGATAATATAGTAAATCAAGATGCAATAGTAAAGATAAGATAGTAATAAAGTAAATAATAAATTAATATAGTAAATCAGATGGATAAATCAGATAGTATTTATGCTTTATTAAAACTTTTCTGACTTCCGGGGATCACTTGTGCTTAGACATGGGTCAGATTTTAATTGTTGGAGATTTTAATATACATGTGTGCTGTGAGACTTCTTTGCTCTTATTGACTTTTAATTGTACTTAGTGGGTCCAGGACTCTACTCATGTTAAAGGACATACTCTTGATCTGATCCTGTCTTATAGCTTGGACATTTTTATCACAGAAATCCAAGACTTTGGGACATCAGACCACTTCCCCGTCCAGTTTAATGTTGAAGTGTGTGATGTGGAGTCGAACAGACAGACTGGTGCTCCATTTGCGAGCGATAAACTCATTGACAGCTGTTCTGTTTTCCTCTGCGTTCAGCAGCTCTGCTCTCAGTGAGGCCGGAGATTACGCTGACTTTAACGTTGAAGAGCTAGTTAATGTTTTTAATTCAACATGTTTTGGCATCCTGAACTCTGTTACCCCACTCGGAACTAAACCTGCTAAACCATCTTACCAACCTTGGTTGTAAGGGTGCACAATGCCTATAGGGACCCATCACTGCTTGATGCTCTTAACAAGTTCTACACACGCTTTGAAGATCCTAACATACCACCCAGCACCAGACTCACCTCACCACTGGATGAAGAGCTTCTCAGCGTGACCTCAGCAGAAGTAAGGAGTACTTTCAGGAGGATTAATCCTCACAAAGCAACGGGCCCAGACAACATCCCCAGGAAGGTGCTGAAAGACTGTGCCGATCAGCTCTGCAAGGTACTGGCAGACATCTTTAACTCCTCACCTGGCAACAGTTTTCACCTGCCTGAAGACCGCAACCATCATTCCAGTTCCTAAGAGCTCTGCAGTGACTGGTCTGAATGACTATTGGCCAGTGGCCCTCACCCCAATAGTCGCTAAATGCTTTGAAAATTTGCATGACCCACATCAAAACAACCATCAACATCAACGAGGACCCTCACCAGTACGCGTACCATGAGAACCGATCAACAGAAGGCGCCATCTCTGTGGTCCACACATAGTTTTTGTATTTGATTTACTGTATGCACAGCACTTAGTGATTCTGTCTGGGAAATGTGCTTTAAAATTAACAGTACTAACTCACGATGATACACCGACTGTCAGTATTTGGTCAATTTTACAAACTTTTTACAGGTGAACTAATGAAGTTGGAACTTGTCAGTAATCTGTGTTTCTAATGTAGAAACGGCTAATTTAACTGTAAATATGCTCTGGTTGATGGCGCAGGATGAACCGTCTGAACAGCTTGCCCAGAGGATTTGGGTCGTTGCCTGCTCTAGAGGTGCTGGACCTTACCTACAACAACCTGAACGAGGAGTCCCTGCCCGGAAACTTCTTTTACCTGAGTGAGTCTCCGTGTTTACACGCATACACATAAAAACTGAGATTTGGCTGCATTACCTGAGTAGTATTTAATATTTTTTTTACTGAACTTTATTTATTTATGTTGGACTTTTTTAGTTTTATTCTTACTACTGGTTGCAAAGAGAAGAGTTGGGGTTTATGCCTCCTCCGTCTGCTCTGTGTGGGCTACGTTTGGCACTATGCTAAAATGAAATACCCATTATTTGTCCAGTTGTGGAAGCCACTGATTTGGAAATTCTTAGTTTTTTTTTAAACGAGGAGTCAATCAAAAGTTTTGACCAGAAAAACAACAGGTCAGCAACCAGCTCTGGGCTGTATATATGAGCTCGGCAGAGTGCTGGAGCTGACAACAGATTTGGTCAACTTCTACCACAATGACCTAATCGTCACAGCTCATAATACTTTTGAAAATTTGAATGTCTTGAAACAACACATTTCCCAATAAGTAACAGAATGAGGTATCACAACAGACAGTTTCTCTCAGAATTCTGCCTACAGCTTTATCGTTTCAGATAAAACCCAAATCTAGCATTAAAAGACCAACAAAAACACTGATCAAGATCATTGGGTTTGATTCTACTGAGCCCCTCCATCAGTGGTACCGCTGGTTTGACACACATCCAGCACAGACCAGAGCTCTGCGTTTTAATGTGGTGGGCAGTCTTTGTTTAAGAGCTGGTAGTTATTTGTTAAAGAGCTGCTGCGACGCCTCACAAAGGTGAAGAACTTCACCTGTTGATCAGCTGCGGAGAAACTCTGCCCTGCAGTGCTATTGAACTGTGTCTGGTTGTTGTAAAATTGTGGGCTATTTCATTATTAAACATTAAACTAAAGACAAACTCATCATACAGTATCCTGTATTTAGTGTCATCAGATCAGCCAGGGATGCAAGTGTCAGGTCTGAAAAGAGCCAGAGTATCAAGGCTTGTTGTGATCTCAAATACGTGTTAAACTTGGGGACATTTTCTGTCTATGTGGTGAGTGATCATAAAATAAAAATGGCTGCAATAAATTTTTTTGTTTCTAGATTTCTTTGGCTCTTAAAGATTACTATTCCACTAACATCACAATAAGTCCAGTCTCTAATGACCCTAAATCAAACATACTGTTTATATTTGATTTGGTTTTTCTTGCAGCCACACTTCGAGCTCTGTATTTGAGTGACAATGACTTTGAGGTCCTTCCTGCTGACATTGGAAAGCTCACCAAGCTGCAGATAGTAAGTAAATGCTGCTAGTAAAGACAGGAATGTGTCAATCATGTTATACTATAGTAGGTATCAATTACAAAACTTAAATTAAAAAGTCTACTTTTACTCTTCAAACAACGTTGTCAGCTCTGGACGGATTAAAAATAAAAATTAAAACTTTTGAAATGTTTAGTCTTTTATCCAAATCACTTCTTCAGTCTGATGAGCTGCAACAAACAAGCAGCACCTTCTCATAGTGGATCAACAGTTTGTTGTTGCCATCCAGAACTAGCTGTTCACATGATGGACGACCATCAGCACAATAATAGATCGTTATTCCCCTTACGGCCGCTTGCTATTCACAGGTGGCTGAATAATATTAGCATTAACAGTAAAGTAATCCAGGGAAAAATCCAACAATGTTCAATCAGGTCATTTGGACGGTTTTTGTTGCTGAGACATTTCGACTTTCATCCAAAGGACTTCATTAGGTGATAAGATGGTACAAAAATTACATTCATAATTAGAGTTCTGTCTCAAACCAGAGAACTTTCTAAGAATAAAAAGACATGCTTGTCATTTTCATCAACATGTGGTAAAGATATGTCACTAAGTCATATTTTACATTATCAAAATACAACTTGCACAATACTGTACATTGATTCAGTTCTGTTTTGTAATGGCTATAAACAAGTGTTTTAAAGGCAAAGGAAAATAAAAGTAAAAAGAAATAAATTAATGTCACCTACTTTGTCTTAAACCCCAAAATATGTGGATCATGTTGAAATGATTTTAAAAAGGAACATTAGTGTTGACTTTGTATTCAGAATAGGAGAATGTGAAATAATGCTTAACAAAAACGTCTATCGTTTTCTGCTTTCTTGTGTTAGCTGAGTCTTCGAGATAATGATCTCATATCGCTGCCAAAGGAGCTTGGGGACCTGACTCAACTCAAAGAGCTTCACATCCAGGGGAACCGACTGACCGTTCTGCCTCCTGAACTCGGTGCACACACACTCAAACACACGTGTATTTTTTATTTTTGAGGATATTCTTTTTAGATTTAATCTACTTATTTGTTGTACTTATGAAGGCCTGAATGAATGAAGGCCGTTGTGATAAGCCTAATGACGGCTGCTCTGAAAGATTAATTATATATGATTTTATGAATAATCTGTATGTTCATTTGTTTTAGCAAAGTATTCAGTGAAGCAGTGAACAGGTTTTAATGAAACACTAACTAATCTCTAAATGTACCAGTAGACTAGAACAGTTTAACTTTTAGATCTAACCTGAATCAAGTCGGGAAAAATTTAAGAGAAAAAAAATACAATACACTAATAATAATAACTGAAGAATTAATAAAAAGCAATTTAAAACATAGGGTCACAGATTAAAAAACACTAGATCAATTTACACTGTGTGAAATGCCTGAGAGAACAGATGTGTTTTCAGCAGGGATTTGAAGTGAGGCAGGGAGGTGGCCCACCTGATGTTGGGGGGCAGGTTGTTCCAGAGTTTGGGGTCCATGACTGAAAAAGTCAGATCTCCTCTGAGCTTCAGTCTTGTTTTTGGAACAGCCAAAAGCAGCTGATCAGATGATCTCAGGGCCCGAGAGGGAACGTAAGGTTCCAGTAGCTCAGAGAGGTAAAGAGGTGCGAGGCCATTTAGGCATTTGAAGGTCAACAGAAGAATTGTAAAGACTATCCTCGTACGAACAGGGAGCCAGTGAAGGGAGGACAGAACTGGAGTAATATGTTCAGACCTACGAGTTCTGGTTAAAAGCCGAGCAGCAGCATTCTGGACAGCTGAAGACATGAAATGGAGGCCTGGCTGATCCCAGCATACAGTGCATTGCATTAGTCCAATCGGGTCATGACAAAAACGTGGATTAGTTTCTCAAGGTCGGGTCTGGACAACACTGGCTTGAGTTCAGCTACCTGTCTGAGTAGGAAGAAGCTTTTCTGAAGAACAGAGTTAATTTGTTTGTCAAACTTGAAGTCAGAGTCTAAAACCATCCCTAGAGTTTTACCAGACTGCTTAAGATATGGTTGAAGAGAGTCCAGGTTGACAGGATCCGAGGCGGCAGTTGAGCTAGGGCTAAAGACAATGACTTCAGTCTTCTCATTGTTAAAACTTAAGAAATTTGAAGCCACCCAGGCCTTAATGTCAACCAGACATTTTAACAGAGGGTGAATGGAGCAAACACTTGCTAGTTTCACAGGCAGGTAGATCTGGCAGTCATCAGCATAGCAATGGAATGAAAGACCATGTTTCCTCAGGATGGACCCCAGTGGGAGCAAATAAAGTGAGAACAGAAGGGGTCCAAGAATCAAACCCTGTGGGACCCCGCAAGAAAGTGGTAATGAGGCGGATACATTATTACCAACCTTGACACAGAAACTCCTGCCACTCAGGTATGAGCAGAACCATTCTAATGCAGCACCTGTGATCCCAACCCACTGTTCCAGCCATGATATGAGGATACTGTGGTCAACAGAATCAAAAGCTGCAGTAAGGTCCAGGAGCACAAGTACCACAAATTGACCAGAATTGTTTGATATCATAATATCGTTACAAACCCTTACTAATGCTGTTTCAGTGCTGTGGAGTTGCTTAAAACCAGACTGAAAAATCTCAAAAATTCTGTTCTTATTCAAAAACGTATTTAATTCAATGAAAACTATTTTCTCCAGGATTTTGGAGAGGATCAAGATCAAGATCATTGCTAATTGACATTAGTTAGTGTGGTAGTAGATGTGAGTCATCTCCAAATCATACCTGGTGTGCTAACAAACTGTGTTAGATCATGTTTTAAAACGACTGTGCAACGAATACGGGGAGTGGTGGCGCAGAGGTTAGAGAAGGTGGGCCTGTGATCGGAAGATCGCCGGTTCACGCCCCGGTACAGACAACATCAAAAATGTGGGTGGGGTAGGTGAAGCACCCACACTATGGTATAACATGGTCGATACTATGGTATCGACCATGTTTTCTGCTGTACAAGTCGCATTAGTCCAAAAATGTATCATAAAGTGGAAAAAACATAAATATGTCGCTTCACCGTATAAGTCGCATCTATTATGCGTCACTGCTGACCCCCGGGAAACGTGGGCTGGTGTTGTGGCAAAAATCGATTGGCTGCCAAATGGCGGCCACAGGAGCGTGCACGGGAGAACTTTTAATATGAATTTAACAACATTAACACTTAAAAACAATTATTTGTTTGCTCGACATTATAGCAAAGGTGTGTCTCAGTCTAACTTTTCCTTAATAAATGCACTTTAATGGTTCAAACAGCTTCATTTCTCCTGGGTGCTGGTGTTCCTCCCCATGCCAGAGTGGGGGCAAAGGCTCTGGCCGCAAGCTCTGGATCCTTCCTCCGCCCACACCTCTCTTCTTCCTGGGGCCGCGGAACACGCTTCGCTGCCCCCTTCCTCCCGGCTCGGGCAGCGGAAGGAGGCTGTAGAGCAGGGCTATTCAACTAAACTGCTCAGGGGCCACAGTTTCTGAAAGCCAACAGCTCGGGGGCCGGAGGTCCAGCGATTAAAATCATTATGTAAATAAACCAACGTTTACAATGATCTGTTACCTTTTACATTTGTGTATTTTATTGCATTGAATCGTAAATGCAATGAACAAAACCCAGAACCCAAAAAATAAAAATATTTTTTAAATTATTTTTTAATGAAGTGGGCCAGATGGAAGTCATCCGCAGGCCTGAAATGTCTCGCGGGCCGCCAGTTGAATAGTCCTCCTGTAGAGTTTGTAGCCAGAGCCGTGATGGATGGATGGATTGATGGTGGCTCAGCGCTGCAGAGGAAATGCACCCTGGCAGGAGCCAGCCTGGCACAAGACATGTTCCCCACGAGGGGGCATCCTCCACCGCCATGCGGCTGTCCCTTCCACCAGGTTGAATCCCCCCGGGCAGACTGCACGGACCCCACCTGTTTACAAATTTTCTTTCTGCTGCTCGAGCATCGTTTTGGGCTGCATATTTATTACCTGCAGTTTGTAATCTGCATGATAGGATTTTCTGTTTGGGAGCATTTTATTTGTGTTAAATTGTTCTCAGTTGTTTTTAAGTGAACGTTTGTTTGTTGGGGGGGGGGGGGTAGAGGAACAACATATAAAAGCCTAGAGGGCCCTCTAGTGACTGCAACTAGCATCCAATGATTACTTTCTGCAAGTTTTGTTAAAATCTGTCTAGTATTTCTTGAAATATTTTGCTAACAGACACTTGAACAGAATTGGCTGCATGTGCCTTTTGGTGGCAGAAATATTTTCCTTAAGCACTCGAAGCAGAGCTGCAACTCATGTTCATGATGGAGGTTTTGACTTGGCAGGTCATGAACGTAACACACTTGTTGTGTATAAGTGTTTTTTTCATTGTTGGGTTTGTGTGTTTTTGTGTCCGCAGGCAACTTGGATCTGACTGGTCCTAAACAGGTTTTCAAAGCGGAGAACAATCCGTGGGTCACTCCAATCGCAGACCAGTTCCAGCTCGGCGTCTCTCATGTGTTTGAGTATGTTCGCTCAGAAACCTATAAATAGTAAGTACTCGTTCACATATTGCAAAAAAAAACTTTATAGAGTATCTATGGTTTATTTACAGCATCTTTAATGAGTGGAAATCCATCTTCAAATCAAGTCTTTGTCTTTTTAATACAATCTTTCATTTTTACTTTCCTATGTTTTTGTGTTTAAACCATAAATGGACAAAATTATTTTTTCCCCAGTTTTGGTTTTTGTAGCAGAGACTGGAGTAAAATCTTAAAGCAATTCAGGATCTGCTAATAATTCTTTAGTCCAAGCAGTAGAGGGTGTTTAAAATCCTCAGCCTGCAGCTCAGAGGCATGCTCTGGAACTGATCCGACGCGAAGAGACACAAAGACCTGGTCTCAGTTGCATTGTCTGCCATCTTGCACTGGCATACAGTTTGTCTGAGCATCTTTCCATAAACTGCTGCAGAGATGAGAGCAGCATCAGTGATTGTCCATTTCAAACTTCTGAGCTGTCAGCCACATTGCAGAAGTTTTGTTAATGATATTTAGGTGTGCAGTTTTTAAGAATTTTTTTTTTTTTGTTCCACACAAATAATTCTCATAATAACTAAATGTTACAGAGGCCTGGCAGAGCATCTCCAAAGAAATCTGCAGCTCTATTACTGTATGTAACTTTCAAAAAATGCTGTTGAACAGTAATTTGAACTGTTTTACTTGCCCAGGTAAAAGTTCTGACATGCCCCTTTTCATCTGCTGGGATTTTTTTTAATTGTTAAAAAAATTAATTGGAAAACAATGATGCACGTTACACCAAAGGTCATGGTCATTAATCCAGGTATAAATCCAACAATGTTCAGACAGGTCATCTGGACGGTTTATTTTGTTGCTGAGACGAATGAAGCCTGTTCTGCCATTTCTGGGATTAAAAACCTCAGATTATTCAAGAATTCAAGGTTCTTTATTTGTCATTCGGTGGAACAAAATTATGTACACAGTGTCCCAGTTACATCCAACAATAAAATGTAAAAGGAAAAACATTAATAAGATCTAATTTAAGAGCTTAGAAAAACATCAACTAAATATACACTAAGCACTAGTAGCATAAAAACACTACGCTGAACAGCAGCATGAACATGAGTCTGTGTGAGCAGATGAGCATGAATGAACATGGCAGCATGAAACGAATCAGCAGCAACATGAAACGGATCAGCAGCAACATGAAACGGATCAGCAGCAACATGATGTAATTTTTTCAGAGTGATTATCCTGATTAGAGATTCATGAGTCTAACAGCCTCAGGGTAGAAGCGGTTCCTGATTACGGTCACAATAACTCACTGTACTGTACTGGTTACAAATCACACATAAAGAGGTGCATGTTCTTTGCAACATTTTTCAGTCAGGTCATCTGGACAGTTTCTTTTTTTGTGCTGAAACGTTTCACCTTTGATCCAGAAGGCTTCATCAGTCAAGGAAACGCACAACAAAACTGATTCTTCCCCCAACAGCTTACTCCAAAGTGGAACAAACCAGTTCTGCTTGTGATAAGATGGTCTCTTTGGTACACCCGTCCTCCACTGCTGGGCCTCTTCCTTGTTGACAGTCATATCAAACTGGTTGAAAACAACAAAGTCCATGCTCAATAATCCTGATGAAGCCTTCTGGATCAAAGGCGAAACGTTTCAGCACAAAAAAAGAAACTGTCCAGATGACCTGACTGAAAAATGTTGAATTGTATACCTGGATTATTGAGCATGGACTTTGTTGCATGTCCTTTGGTTTTGCATACCAGGACATAATGAGAATGACCAACGGCCTTGTGTTTAAAGTTGTGTTCATACAGAAACCTACTACTTAAGCTACTTAGGCTACTTAATGTGAACCCTGGTTCTTTGATAACAGAATGATGAGATTAAATATGTGAAATGTTCCAACGTTATTAACTACAGAAGCTACAATGGCATCATGTCTGTTTGAAACAGACCTGTTGATCCTTACACGAGGCTCTACCCCCATCATAATACTGCCGTCAACCGACCACCACTCACCCTAGGACTTTTTTTTTGTAGCCATGTAAGAAGGAAAGAGTTGTTGACATATTTCGGGTGAGGGTCCCTACCCAAGATGGAAGCCCAGCATGATGTGGGTCAGAGGCGGGATACAGCCTCCTTGACGTTAGGTTCCGACCCATGGTGGGCGTAGGTGTTGTAGTAAGAGACAAGCATGTAGCTTGGGCGTGACCCATTAGCTTGTCCGTTGCTAGCACTAGCAGCAGGTTTAAATATGAGCTAACAACTTAGCTAACTAGCGTATCGTAACTAGTTAGCTGAAAACAATCCTTATCACTAGCAAGCTAATGCTATAAGGTGCAGGTATGTTCAAACACACCCCTGAGACAGTACAGCAGGATATAATAGCATAATGTAATATACATTCAGTCAAAGCATACATGGAACGCCATAACCAAGTGACTGGAATAATATACAGAAACATCTGTGCTGAATATAGACTGGAGCTCCCACAGTCAAAACGTGAGACTCCACCAAGAGTGGTGGACAATGGCAGGGATAAAATACTGTGGGACTTCCAAAGCCAGACTGGTAATCATGGGATGGCTAACCTGCCTTTGTGGTGATCGACGAGCTACACAAGGCGGCAGCAGTGATTGATGTAGCAGTCCTGAGTGACTGTAACATCAGGAAAAGGAACACTGAATAGCTGAAAGAGGAAATGGAGAAGTTGTGGAAAGTCAAGGCCACACAGGTGCCAGTGGTCAACCAACATTTGGTTTTGTGACCCCCAAGGTCTAAGAGTGGCTCCAACAAATCCTAGGAACAGCTACAGAGTTCTCCGTCCAGAAGAGCACAGTCTCAGGAACAGCTAGGATACTGTGCAGAACGTTCAGAATACTAGGCAGCTTGATGTCAACTGGAACTGTCCAAGTGGAAGATATCTGGAGAGCTGGGTCCAAGCTTTTTCTATACATTTAATAGAGTACGGTCAGATGCCAGAATTTGTGAGGCATACCTGGAACACAACTCATGGACAACTGATAGCTAAGGCTGATAATAGTCTTGTTTTTAATATTAGATTTAAATCCTGCAATAGGTTGTCATGGTTTTAGTGGAAACATTTTGTGTTTTAATCACAGGCCAGGTTGTCTGAATTTTGTGAAGGAGATCCATGGGGATAAATTCATCACATATAAAAGTGAATTAATCAGTATGTAAATACTTCTAATTTTCTTTATAGTTCTTGTAGGTCAGTAGGAACTGGAACTACTTAATTATCAGGACAGAGAGCCTTACTACTGTTACAAAGATTAGAATCTGTGTAGCGTTCTACCTCCTTCCCATTCTTTCTAACTGCTTCTTTTCTTCTCGTTAATATTTCCATGTAAAGAACACTTTTTAAACAGTTGGCAACACTTGTGAATAGAAGTTGGCTGCAAATAGAAGGTTCACATCAAATCAATGACCTTTGACCTCCCTGGACATTAATCCTGCATACAATCTTACATTAAAAGTTTTAACTTTTTAATACAGAGACACACGAGGGTAGAGAAAAGCAAAGTTACTTCAATTTGCTGACATGCACACATGTGCAAACAGAAATGGCTGTGATTAATTAAGCCATGTGGAATAGTAGAACTATGCAGTATGAAGACGTTGTCAGGAATCTGAGTCTATTCATCCCTTCTTTTGCAATTAATTGGCTCTAACAGGTCAGCACTGCAGCTTCACATGTACACACGCGCGCACACACACATTCACACTGTCATAAAAATACAAAATGCTATGTTGAGCTGTAGGAAACACTTTACTTTTGATTAGTTGTCATGTTTGTATCACAAACAAAACACAGAGTGTAGGTGACCGATGAGGGGTTTACATTCTACATTTTACAAGAAAAAAATCCACCTGAAGTTGAGGTCTAAATTCAATTTGTAAAACAAAAATAGTTTAAGATAAGATGAGTCTTTATTCGTCTCCCAAGGGGGGGAATTCAGTGTTACGGCAGCATCGTCACCAAGTAGGGAACAGCAGCACACGTTACTAAAATAATGTAAAACCAAAATATCCATCCATCCATCCATCATTACCTTTTAGCAGTTTCTTCCTCTTTGGGTCACGGGGGTCACTGGTGCACATACCTTGACCTCTCTAAGTGGCTTCAAACTTCTGCTAAGTTCCTGGCAAAAAACAATGCAGACATGTTCCTGTTTTTAGTTTTCTACATCGCTCTACAATGTAGCTGTTTTTGTTTATTTTTTAATACCTTTTTTTCATTTGTTGTTCTCAATTTGTATGCTTTCTTTTATGATTGTCTACTATTGTCTTTGTTGCCCGCTGTTGTCATCACTTTTTGTTAAAATCAGGTCTCTCTTGTAAAAGAGTCCCTGAGGCTCAGTGGGACTAACCAGTATAAATAAAGGTTGAATGAAAAAAAAAAAAAAAAAATCCAGCAGTCACTGTGCAAGAGGCGGGGGACACCATGGGCAGGTCTCCAGTCCATCACAGGGACACATCGAGACAAACCAGACAAACAACTATTCACTCTCTCACTCACACCTAGGGACAATTGAGTTATCACTCAGTCTAATATGCATGTTTTTGGTCTGTGGGAGGAAAAGCCAAGATGGCCGCACTCTCGGGAGCCACAGCTTCACAGGCTCCCGGTGCGATCCCAGTTTTTAGGAGTTTTGAAATTGACTCCGAGCCTGACTTCGCACACATTATGTGTTTGTGAGTTATAACCGAACTGAACTAATGAGAATAAGAGCGGATTTACCACGGAATATAGCAGCGATCAGCAACTATCTCAAATCTATGCTCGGCAGAATGCAGATCCTAAAGTCATCTACCTGGAAGCTTCAGCAGGGCCGCTCAAATGGGAAGAGGAGGCGTTGCTCCCGGCGGAAGAAGCGAGGTTGCTTGTAAGGCTAAAAGCTAATACTAAGGTTGGCCTTTCTGCTGAACGTCCGCTCTCTGGACAGCAAGATGGATTTGCTTCATCTGAGAGTGGGTGCCTCAGAGGAGATGAGGAAAT